TCAAAGCCCAAATATTAATATTACATATATGTTAGAAATACTTGAAAATGTAAAATATTTGATTATGGTCAACTCGCAAATTACTTGGATTTTCTAAATAAAATTAAAATCAATGTATTTAATACGCTTTTAGATTATATCTAATTGAATTGAATAAATTTAAAAAAAATTACGTAAATGTTTATATAATTTAATGATAAATGTTAAAAAATTTAAAATTATTGGGGGGGGGGGCGCTAGAACAAATCTTGCATGCGGGCGCTGAGGACCCCAGGACCGCCCTGTATATATATATATATATATATATATATATATACACATATATGTATATGTGGATGGAATTTTGGAGAGTATTAAACAAACATAATTTTTTTAATACTATCTCAATGTAAATGTTTATTATTACAAACCTTTGCTTATTCGATTTTCAATATTTTTTTTGAAATCTAGTAATTGTGGTTTTATTACTTTATAGGTTGGAAAAATAGGTTTTTCCAATATAAATTGGGTTGCAATCTAAACAAAATTAAATTTTATTTTGTTTAAATATCTCTAAATTAGAATAAAGCATTTTGTACTTTTATTTTTATTTTCCAATGATTATATTTTTATTGATTAATTTAATTAATTATATAAAATTCATTAATTTTTTATATTTAATGATGATCAAATATTTGATAAGAGTTTAAGGATTATTTTAATTTTTACTAAAAAAATCCTTCTTATAATAAAACATGTACTTGTATTTAGATTTTAATTTATGATAAGGATTATTGAGATTGATGGTTCTCGGTTCTAAACAATGATCAAGATATTCGTAAGTTAAAGCATTTCCTAAAATTAAGATGTAGTGACTATTTTACCTCAAATTATAATGATGATGAACAGTTCATTTAAATTCATAGTGTTAACTTACCGTAGGATAAGTTATAGTAATGGGCCGAAAATCGAAAATGAAATTTTTTGCAAATCTTCACGTTTAAGAGGTTTCTGAACATTTGGCATACCTAAGAAAAAATGGATGTGAGTGTAGTTTTGTATGAATGGATACAATTTTTCGCCCACGTTTTCAGGTGCACGGATCAACCGATTTGAATGATTTAAAAAACATTCGATTCCTACTGATAGGGAGTTGTGCTGATTAGTTTTTGGCAAAGGCAGGTCCAGCCATTTCGCAGATACGGAGCAATGAGTGCAGAAAATAGAAATCGACATTTTGAGAGAATGGGGCATCCGATTTGAATAATTCAAAAAACATTCAATTTGTAATGATGGGTAAAAGAGGTGATTAGTTTTTAGCAAAGTTAGGTACAGCCATTTCGAGGATGCAGAGCTAAATTTGCTAAAAATGGCAGTTTTTGAGAGAACTAAGCGTCCGATTTGAACGATTCAAAGAACTTTTTGCTTGTTTTAACAAAATAATTGCTTTTGAACATTTAGCTCTGTATCTCCGAAGCGGCTGGACCTGCCTTTGCAAGAAACTAATTACCACTTTTCCCCGTCATTACGAATTGAATGTTTATTAGATCATTAAAACCGGATGCTCCATACTCTCAAAAACTCGATTTCTATTATCTGCACTCTTTGCTCATTATTTTCGAAACTGCTGAACCTGCCTTGGCCAAAAACTAATCAGCACATCTTCCTATAAATAGGAATCGAATGTTTTATTAACCATTCAAATTGGTTGATCCGTGCGCCCAAAAACGTAAACGAAAAACTGTATCCATACATACATACATACACATACACATCCTTTTTTCTGAGGTATGCCAAAATGTTCAGAAACCTTCAAAACGTGAAGAAATGTAAAAATTTTCTATTTCGATTTTTGGACGATTACAATAACTTACCCTACGGGTAGTTAAAGAGATTATTAAACTTTTTTTTAATTTTTTTTTTTTCGTATTTCGAAAATAATGCAGATTTTAATTTTAATTCTGGCTAAAGTTCAAAAACTCACTTATATACTTAAATAAATAATTTTAACTTTGTAGTTCAGTTTATATAATTCTTATAAATATTAGACAATGTTTACTGTATTTGTAATAATCTATTTGAAAACATTTAAGATTTTTCGAACATTTTGTTACGGAACGGGAAATTCAAGCAATTTGCCTTAATGCACGACGCCATACACAACTAGTTAATTAATAGTTAATAAAGGTATAACTAATCAACTAACATTTAATTTAATACATCATAAAAATATAGTAAGGCCGAAACCAAAATTTACTTCTTTTGAGTTATTTTTAATCCTAGTATTTATGCATTAATTTAATAACTTTTTTTCAGGAACAAATTTACCTGGCCCAAGAATAAAATACTACACAACGACTCAGGAAGGTCAACAGAGATCCGGAGTTTGCGCTCAGTTGCCTCAATCAGCATACTTTGCTCTGCACCTTCCTTATTCAATATTCGGCTTAGGACGAACCCCAAATTTCGTCGATTCTTTAACAGTAGGTTTGTCCAGTAGATCCAGATCGTGGACCCAGATCATTCCCAATTCACAAATGGTAATAATACCCTGGCCTCCTGCAGAACCTCTGAAATGGAAAATCAACTGTTTGTGACTCCTAGTAAATTAATTTTGTTGAGTGTCGCCGCATTAACTGGAACCTGTGTACTGATTGCTTTGATAATTGTGATTTTACATTTAAAAGAAAGGAGAGAAGATAAGCTGGAAAAGCAGCAAGAATCTCATAGGTTCCACTTTGATGCTATGTAATAAATAGAATTTAGTCAATATACAAAATTCATTTTTAAAATAATTTTTATAAAAACTGTTTATGACTTTACGTGATGTAAATAATTGTAACATAAACTATATCATAGAATAAGTAATTTATTTACCCTTATTAATTATTTTATTAGATTTAGGCACAATTTTGTTAACTTCCAGCAATGCTATTGCGACATTAATAAAAATTATTTTATATAATAATGACAAGTTTTAGTAATTCGATAGAAAATTAATCGCAAAAAAAAGAATTTTTTATATATCTTTACGTTTCAGAGGTTTCTGAACATTTTGGCATACCTTAGAAAAAATGTATGTATGTGTGTGTGTGTGCGGATACAAATTTTCTTCGACGATTTTGCGAACACGAATCAATGGATTTGAATAATTCAAAAAACATTCGATTCGTATTGACAAGAAGACGCGCTGATTAGTTTTTGGCGAAGGCAGGTTTAGAGCCGTTCCGAAGATCCGGGACAAAATACTTAATAATACTTATATACAGAACAAACTATATATAATAAAGGAGTGCGCGTAAAGTTCACACGCGATTGCAGTAAAACTTATTTGCTACTGTACAAGATGGCATTTGAGTGAAAATAAATACATCATATAACGATTTTGAATAATGTTTGTTAGTAATATGGTAACACTCGTGATGCACATATTTATCAGTGTCAACTATTATACACATTCATATAATGATAAATTATGAATTATATATTTATAATAGCATTAAAAATATGTATAATATTTAAAAACAATAATATAAATAAAGTCATACTTCAAATATGACATGATCGGTTTGTCATTGTAATTAGCAATGAACCTTCATTAGAGAAATGAAGTAATTGCTGATTAATAAATTCTATAATATTCGTTCACATAGTGGATTATTTTAAACAACGCCTCAACAAATATTGTTTTGGAACTTCACTCATAATGTAATTTGTTTTCGTGAAATTAAAAAGAACTTCGTGTAATAAAATTGACATACATTCATTGACGGCTTGTATTTTTTTTTTACTTTTCCGCTGGCGATATAATCTCATTCTTTAAACAGCTGTAATATCTATCTTGCCTAAAATATTTTTCATTTTAATACTTCAAAGATTTATAGAAAATACGAATAATATAGAAATAATTTTTAATCAACAAACTTACGTTTAGTACACGACACAAATATTTAATTTGCTTTACTATTTTCAAGGTACAGGTAAAATATTATTCTGATTTGGGCATTT